CCACTCCCTGAAATATTTAAAAGCCAATAATGTATGACGTAACAGGTGGCTGTTTGTTCAATGGGAAAATCCTGGCCAGAGGTGAAGTTGGTAAAGACAGCAACTGTGGCATGACGTGTCTGTGTCTGGACGAGACCAGTGGTCAGATGTCTTGTCTCGACAGGTCAGTACTCTCACATTTTGTCAAATGACATGTTTAACGCACATAATATGTCAAATGACATATCTAACGCACATGTCATGTCTAATGTCATATCTAACGCACATGTCATGTCTAATGACATAACTAACGCACGTGTCATGTCATTCCAATGTAAATTTGTAATATTTAATGAACGAATGTCAAGTCGGGGCTAATGACCAATCAAATACAGATGACAGATTTGTTCTAATGTCATACAGATGACAGGTCTGTTCTAATGTCATACAGATGACAGGTCTGTTCTAATGTCATATCAAATACAGATGACAGGTCTGTTCTAATGTCATACAGATGACAGGTCTGTTCTAATGTCATATCAAATACAGATGACAGGTCTGTTCTAATGTCATATCAAATACAGATGACAGGTCTGTTCTAATGTCATACAGATGACAGGTCTGTTCTAATGTCATACAGATGACAGGTCTGTTCTAATGTCATATCTAATGCAGGTGTGCCACCTACGCACCGGACAACAAGTTCTGCACTATCGTCACCGACCCGTTTGATGCCTGCTGTAAGGTGCCCAGCTGCCCGCTCTCCGTGCACAACCCGCCCATTGGCTCATTCCCACAGCCGCATGTAAGTTCATCTGGGATAGGTGGGTCATCATTGGGATAGGCGGGTCATCATTGGGATAGGCGGGTCATCATTGGGATAGACGGGTCATCATTGGGATAGACGGGTCATCATTGGGATAGACGGGTCATCATTGGGATAGGCGGGTCATCATTGGGATAGGCGGGTCATCATTGGGATGGACGGGTCATCATTGGGATAGGCGGGTCATCATTGGGATAGACGGGTCATCATTGGGATAGACGGGTCATCATTGGGATAGGCGGGTCATCATTGGGATAGGCGGGTCATCATTGGGATAGACGGGTCATCATTGGGATAGACGGGTCATCATTGGGATAGACGGGTCATCATTGGGATAGGCGGGTCATCATTGGGAGACACGATTCATCCTTCTTATTAACAAATCATCACATAACTAAACAAAACTTTACAAACTAACGAAACAAATCACAGCAAGAAAACATCTAAACACCCAGCCAAATTACTTCCCTTACCTAAAGGAAATGAAAAAAATAAGTAAAATCATGAAGCAAAAAAAAAAAAAAAATAATGAATGCAAACTTTAAAAATCAGTTCCTAAAACATTCCATTCCAGTGTTACCGAGAATACGCAGATGGTACACAACAGGGTTAAATTTAGTTGTAAACAACAATCCCAGTTCAACAGATTTGCTAAACAATAAAAATAAAGTGAGTACAGATTAGAGAGGCAACTTATCCAAGGCCAGTGGACACCAACCCACATAACCCGCAGCCACCGACCCACACAACCCACACAACCCACACAACCCGCAGCCACCAACCCACACAACCCGCAGCCACCAACCCACACAACCCGCAGCCACCAACCCACACAACCCGCAGCCACCAACCCACCAACCCACACAACCCGCAGCCACCAACCCACACAACCCGCAGCCACCGACCCACACAACCCGCAGCCACCAACCCACACAACCCGCAGCCACCAACCCACACAACCCACACAACCCGCAGCCACCAACCCACACAACCCGCAGCCACCAACCCACACAACCCGCAGCCACCAACCCACACAACCCGCAGCCACCAACCCACCAACCCACACAACCCGCAGCCACCAACCCACACAACCCGCAGCCACCGACCCACACAACCCGCAGCCACCAACCCACACAACCCGCAGCCACCAACCCACACAACCCGCAGCCACCAACCCACACAACCCACACAACCCGCAGCCACCAACCCACACAACCCGCAGCCACCAACCCACACAACCCGCAGCCACCAACCCACACAACCCACACAACCCACACAACCCGCAGCCACCAACCCACACAACCCACACAACCCGCAGCCACCAACCCACCAACCCACACAACCCGCAGCCACCAACCCACACAACCCGCAGCCACCAACCCACACAACCCGCAGCCACCAACCCACACAACCCGCAGCCACCGACCCACACAACCCGCAGCCACCAACCCACACAACCCGCAGCCACCAACCCACACAACCCACACAACCCGCAGCCACCAACCCACACAACCCGCACAACCCGCAGCCACCGACCCACACAACCCGCAGCCACCAACTCACACAACCCGCAGCCACCAACCCACACAACCCGCAGCCACCAACCCACACAACCCACACAACCCGCAGCCACCAACCCACACAACCCGCACAACCCGCAGCCACCAACCCACACAACCCGCAGCCACCAACCCACCAACCCACACAACCCGCAGCCACCAACCCACACAACCCGCAGCCACCAACCCGCACAACCCGCAGCCACCGACCCACACAACCCGCAGCCACCAACTCACACAACCCGCAGCCACCAACCCACACAACCCGCAGCCACCAACCCACACAACCCGCAGCCACCAACCCACACAACCCGCAGCCACCAACCCACACAACCCGCAGCCACCAACCCACACAACCCGCAGCCACCAACCCACACAACCCGCAGCCACCAACCCGCACAACCCGCAGCCACCGACCCACACAACCCGCAGCCACCAACCCACACAACCCGCAGCCACCAACCCACACAACCCGCAGCCACCAACCCACACAACCCGCAGCCACCAACCCACACAACCCGCAGCCACCAACCCACACAACCCGCAGCCACCGACCCACACAACCCGCAGCCACCAACCCACACAACCCACACAACCCGCAGCCACCAACCCACACAACCCGCAGCCACCAACCCACACAACCCACACAACCCGCAGCCACCAACCCACACAACCCGCAGCCACCAACCCACACAACCCGCAGCCACCAACCCACACAACCCACACAACCCGCACAACCCGCAGCCACCAACCCACACAACCCGCACAACCCGCAGCCACCAACCCACACAACCCACACAACCCGCACAACCCGCAGCCACCAACCCACACAACCCACACAACCCACACAACCCGCAGCCACCAACCCACACAACCCGCAGCCACCAACCCACACAACCCACACAACCCGCAGCCACCAACCCACACAACCCGCAGCCACCAACCCACACAACCCACACAACCCGCAGCCACCAACCCACACAACCCGCAGCCACCAACCCACACAACCCGCAGCCACCAACCCACACAACCCGCAGCCACCAACCCACACAACCCACACAACCCGCACAACCCGCAGCCACCAACCCACACAACCCGCACAACCCGCAGCCACCAACCCACACAACCCACACAACCCGCACAACCCGCAGCCACCAACCCACACAACCCACACAACCCACACAACCCGCAGCCACCAACCCACACAACCCGCAGCCACCAACCCACACAACCCACACAACCCGCAGCCACCAACCCACACAACCCGCAGCCACCAACCCACACAACCCACACAACCCGCAGCCACCAACCCACACAACCCGCAGCCACCAACCCACACAACCCGCAGCCACCAACCCACACAACCCGCAGCCACCAACCCACACAACCCGCAGCCACCAACCCACACAACCCGCAGCCACCAACCCACACAACCCACACAACCCGCTGCCACCAACCCACACAATCAATACACACACAATTTGTCATGAGTGATGACAAGACTCCTTAAGCTCCCAATGGGTATAACCAAGGAACTTAATGCCAGCTATAATCCAATGGACAGATTAACACACACACAATTTAAAACAACTGAAATTGGAGGCTGACAAAACCACAAATATACTATAGGCCAGGGGGGGGGGGGGGGCAGTTGTTTTAGCTCGAGTGCCACTTTGTGGTAGCGGATTTTAGAGGAGGGCCGCACACATGTAAAGTCCTGACATATTTTTTTTTGCATAAAAAACGTGTTAATAATAAGCTTTTGTGTAATAATGCACTAAAAAGTAGAAAATAAACAATACACTGCTATTTAAATAACTATAAAGAAAAGCGTGGGTCTCTTCTCAAATATTAGTAAAGATATCCAATAGATACTAAAACATTATTTATGAATTTTTTCGGAGTGTTTAAGCTTCACTTAATTTGGACATTTAAAAATATTGCTGTTACAAAAAAATTCATAAAAAACGTTTTAATAACAAGCTTTTATGTAATGATGCACTAAAAAGTAGAAAATAAATTATAGACTACTATTTAAATAACTATAAAGAAAAGCGTGGGTCACTTTAGTATCTATTGGATACCTTTACTAATGTTAAGGAAGACACCCACGCTTTTCTTTATAGTTATTTAAATAGTAGTCTATAATTTATTTTCTACTTTTTAGTGCATCATTACATAAAAGCTTGTTATTAAAACGTTTTTTATGAATTTTTTTTTCAGTACTTTACATGTTTTATTTACAATAGAGTTACATGACTAAAAACCATTGCGCGCCTACTGAACATCACGTTCAGTAGGCGCGCAATGGTTTTTGAACGCAGCCATTACGTGATGGCGCAGCTATTGAAGGTGATGACGCGTGTGGTGTGGTTGGCTAGACATGCCTACTAATTCGGTCCAAATTTTAATTAATTCATAAAAAATTAATTAGGCATCCAATTAAGTCAAATTTAAATTCAGATTGCATTGTCTTCATGTCTTGACCCACTTGCCAACTGTGAATCGTATCGGTCAAGTAGAACTGTCCGAATTTTCACTCCTGCGTTTCCATCTAGACAGACAGACTGTCGACAGACTGTCGACAGAGGAAGTGAGTTAAAATTTTTTATTAATTCATAAAAAATTAATTAGGCATCCAATTAAGTCAAATTTAGTTTCAGATTGCATTGTCTTCATGTCTTGACCCACGTGCCAACTGTGAATCGTATCGGTCAAGTAGAACTGTCCGAATTTTCACTCCTGCGTTTCCGTCTGAACTGACGACTGACGACTTACGACAGACAGAGGAAGTGAGTTAAATAAAAGCTTGTAATAAAAGCTTGTAAAAACTGAAATAAATCTGACAAACCGGAAAAGTGCGTATTTTCATTGCACGTGCATGCTCTTGACACAGCCGCTCCAAAAAATACGAGACAACGTGCGGTCGCGGACATTAAGCAAATCTCAGTTCAAGGTTGAGTTTTCTGAATTTTGGCCGGCAACAGAGGAAATATGTGGCGGACCGCATGTGGCCCGCGGGCCGCATGTGGGCCGCCCTGCTGTAGGCTACTAAACAAATGGTCAAAATACGTTAACAAAGAGACCAGTGGGTAACTCACAATAGCAAATTAATAAGCGCAGGAGCTAATCCTAACCCACAGGAGCTAATCCTTACCCACAGGAGCTAATCCTAACCCAAAGTAGCTAATCTTAACCCACAGGAGCTAATCCTAACACACAACAACTGACAATCACCTATCATTCCTTAAAACAACACACACACACACAAGGGAGACTATGACTACAACACACACACAACCAAGGGAGACTATGACTACAACACACAACCAAGGGAGACTATGACTACAACACACACACAAGGGAGACTATGACTACAACACACACACAAGGGAGACTATGACTACAACACACACACAAGGGAGACTATGACTACAACACACACACACACACAAGGGAGACTATGACTACAACACACACACAAGGGAGACTATGACTACAACACACACACAATCAAGGGAGACTATGACTACAACACACACACACACAATCAAGGGAGACTATGACTACAACACACACACAAGGGAGACTATGACTACAACACACACACACACAAGGGAGACTATGACTACAACACACACACAAGGGAGACTATGACTACAACACACACATAATCAAGGGAGACTATGACTACAACACACAACCAAGGGAGACTATGACTACAACACACACACAACCAAGGGAGACTATGACTACAACACACAACCACACAATCAAGGGAGACTATGACTACAACACACACACAATCAAGGGAGACTATGACTACAACACACACACACACAAGGGAGACTATGACTACAACACACACACACACAATCAAGGGAGACTATGACTACAACACACACACAATCAAGGGAGACTATGACTACAACACACACACACACAATCAAGGGAGACTATGACTACAACACACACATAATCAAGGGAGACTATGACTACAACACACACACAACCAAGGGAGACTATGACTACAACACACACATAATCAAGGGAGACTATGACTAGATGTTTCTCCCTCAGATCGTGTACAGCGTGGTGAAAACTCCTGACTTAAAGGAATTGTTTGGCCTCCACACAACCCCCCGCCCGACGGTTGCTGACCTGCATACGTCACCACTCTCCATGTCCACCTTTGACCCTTCACACTCAGTCAAGCCACAAAGCGCAAATGATCTACCGACAATGCCACCAGGAAAAGTTGTAGATCCAAACGCCACAGGTATGATGTCTGTCCTACCAACAAATGACGTCATCTCTATTTGGATATTTTGATACAGAATGTTTTTATATCATAATACTTGTATCATAACACTTGTATCATAACACGTGTATCATAACACTTGTATCATAATACTTGTATCATAACACTTGTATCATAACACGTGTATCATAACACGTGTATCATAACACGTGTACCATAACACGTGTTTCATAACACTTGTATCATAACACGTGTATCATAACACGTGTATCATAACACGTGTACCATAACACGTGTTTCATAACACTTGTATCATAACACTTGTATCATAACACTTGTATCATAACACTTGTATCATAATCAGGGACCGAACTACCATGCACCAGACCCCTCAGCCCCAAAGCCGACCATAATTAATATTTTAAAAAAATTAATTTAATTTTCGTGCATTGTTGCCTTGATATTTGGCTTGTAAAAAATTCTGTAGCAGCGGTACGATTATCTTTATTTTACAGGCACTATACCACGCTCTTCCACCAAAAACCTCTACATAAAGTGTAGTGTAAAAGATAGGCAAAACTTCAAATTTTAATGACTTCTGTGACTTGTTGCTCCCCTCTGATAACCAAATAGGGGACATGTTCGCACGTTGGTGTTCTAACTGTTCGACCGGTCCTCCAAATAGGGGACACGTTCACACGTTGGTGTTCTAACTCTTCGACCGGTCCTCCAAATAGGGGACACGTTCGCACGTTGGTGTTCTAACTCTTCGACCGGTCCTCCAGGGTGTACTGGGGCGGGATCAATGGCGACCAAACAATAGGCTACTATAGACTACTATTTAAATAACTAGAAAGACAAAAAAGCGTGGGTCTCTTCCTAAACATTAGTGAAGGTATCCAATAGACCTACTAAAGTGACCCACGCTTTTCTTTATAGTTATTTAAATAGTAGTCTATAATTTATTTTCTACTTTTTAGTGCATTAGTACATAAAAGCTTGTTATTAAACCGTTTTTTATGAAATTTTTACAAGCTTTTATTTAACTTACTTCCTCGTCAGTCGTCAGTCTGTCTCGATCGAAACGCAGGAGCGAAAATTCGGACACTTCTACTTGACTGATACGGTTCACAGTTGGCACGTGGGTCAAGACATGAAGACAATGCATCGTGACATTAAATTTGACTTAATTGGATGCCTAATTAAATTTTTATGAATTAATTAAAATTTGGACCGAATTAGTAGGCATGTCTATCGAACCGCACCACACACGTCATCACGTTCAATAGCGCGTCATCACGTTTCAATAGGCGCGCAATGGTTTTTAGTCATGAAACTCTAGTGTAAATAAAAACATGTAAAGTACTAAATTTTTTTTCATAAAAAACGTTTTAATAACAAGCTTTTATGTACTAATGCACTAAAAAGTAGAAAATAAATTATAGACTACTATTAAAAAAACTAGAAAGAAAAGCGTGGGTCACTTTAGAATCTATTGGATACCTTTACTAATGTTTAGGAAGAGACCCACGCTTTTCTTTATAGTTTTTAGCGCAATTTCCATTCTGGAGAATAGCGTTTATTAACTTGTCATTTCTGGGAATGGATGGATGAATGAATGTATGGATGTATGTGTGTCCGCAGCTTTAAGTCGTATCTCCTCCTCAACGAAGCAATATCGAGTACTAGTTTCAAAGCAATTATGTTAAGCAAATTACGAGGATGAACATAGGCCAAAAAAATTCCGGGTTTCTTTCATGGATTTTCCGGAAAAGCAAAAAAACCTCGAAAAAATGCAGTTTTTGGCCCATATCTCGGCAACCAGACCACTTAGCGACCTGAAACATGTACCAATCGATTCCTGCCATAATTTAGAACATTATTGCCAAAAAAGTTTTCAAAAATATCCTTTCGTTCGGTCACAAAATTTTTTTTTTATTTAATTAAAATTTGGACCGAATTAGTAGGCATTTTTATCCAACCACACCACACGCGTCATCACGTTCAATAGCTGCGCCATCACGTTCAATGGCTGCGACATCACGTTCGGTAGCTAGGCGCGCAATGGTTTTTAGTCATGTAACTCTGTTGTAAATAAAACATGTAAAATACTGAAAAAAAATTAATAAAAAACGTTTTTAATAACTAACCAATGGTTTTACTAACCCTGCTCTTGATTTACGCTACGACAGAGCTGTTTTTAGATAACATAAGGAAATTGCGCTTAAATGTCACTAGACTTTTTAATTAACTTGTTTAAATAGTAGTCTATAATTTATTTTCTACTTTTTAGTGCATTAGTACACAAAAGCTTGTTATTAAAACGTTTTTTTATGAAATTTTTTATTGTTTACTTAAACTTTTAAAAATAGAATAAAATCTAGTAGAAAAAAAGAATTGCGCACCAAGCGAACGCCAAATAAAATGTGCATAATAGTGCGCAATATTATTAGTACTTTATAAGTTTACATACGTTTTTTGAGAAATCGGAAATAGCGTAAATTAGTACTTCGCGTCAACGGAAATTACTCAAAATGTGACAGAAGGTAGAGAATTAGATCTTTTACTTATATGTGAAATTTCATTTATCTATCTGAAATAGTACTCAAGTTATAGGCTTTTGAAAAATTCAAAGTAGAAAAAGTACCACTTCTAATTATCGGAAATCGCTCAAAAGTTGATACGTATCTACGATTTTGATAAAATACTTATATATGAAATTTCATCAACCTAGCTGTAACGGTACTAAAGTTATCGTGTTTACACACACACAGATACGCACACAGACACACAGACATAAGGACAAGATTGCAAAATTATGTTTTCCCGGATCAATGAGGTGTAAAACGTCGAGATTTGTAAAAATCTCGATTTTTTTACAAGCTTTTATTTAACTCACTTCCTCGTCATTCTGTCTGTCGTCAGTCTAGATAGAAACGCAGGAGTGAAAATTCGGACAGTTCTACTTGACCGATACGATTCACAGTTGGCACGTGGGTCAAGACATGAAGACAATGCAATCTGAAACTAAATTTGACTTAATTGGATGCCTTATTAATTTTTTATTAATTAATTAAAATTTGGACCGAATCAATAGGCATGTCTATCCAACCACACCACACGCGTCATCACGTTCCATAGCTGCGCCATCAGGTTCAATAGCTGCGCCATCACGTTTAATAGACGCGCAATGGTTTTTAGTCATGTAACACTATTGTAAGTAAAGCATGTAAAGTACTGAAAAAAAAATCATAAAAAAACGTTTTAATAACAAGCTTTTATGTACTAATGCACTAAAAAGTAGAAAATAAATTATAGATTACTATTTAAATAACTATAAAGAAAAGCGTGGGTCTCTTCTCAAATATTAGTAAAGGTATAAAATAGGTACTAAAGTACTAAAGTGACCCACGCTTTTCTTTATAGTTATTTAAATAGTAATCTATAATTTTTCTACTTTTTAGTGCATTAGTACATAAAAGCTTGTTATTAAAACGTTTTTTATGAATTTTTTTGCACGATTACAAGACTTTCTTTATACTTCGTATATAAGAGAAAGTAAAAATTAAAGCCGTTTGTGAACTATCGATTACACTCATTTTTATATATTCGTATCAAATATATGTCGTTGAAAAGCTGTTTAGAATTAATTTATCCATTCAAATATTTTCAAAAACTGCCCTCAACCTCTCCTTGAAGTCAACTGGAATGGCCAGGGAGAGTAAAACAATAACAGAACAATTTAAAATACACGATAGTGATATATGGTGTATAGCATGGTATTGCATTTATATTAAATTATATAACATCCCCAATCACCACAACATCCTGACTCTACTAATCCAAATTAAAAATAAGTGTTTGCTAAGTTACTATTATATTACTTGTATTTATTTCTTTAACTATTTCTAGCCTCAATGAAACCAGAAGTAATTTTATACTTATTACGCAAATGTTTGGTTGAAAAATATAATTTTTGGCAACACAAATGTGGACCAGTTTATTACTATTCATAATTGACGTCATTGGGAGGGGGGGGGGGGGGTGTCTGGCTTTTTGTAAGTCGTTTAAAAAAGCGTGACGTCATTTATGGATGGCCCCCTTAATCAGAAGGTTATCCGACGCGTGAAATGGCCACATACAGTTGTACATGTGAAAAACATGTTTCTGTCTTTTATGCATTACTGCCTTGAAAAGTTGGGAAGCTGTTGAGTACAGCCCCGCTAAGGCGACGCCCCACGGAAATATGATATTTAGCGCCCCGAGATCCCCAGTGGCTACCTTTGCACCTAGGATCTGCTTATTGTGTGTCCTGCATAGGAGCATAGGGTTACTGTCACACCCTTTTTGTGTGACTGGGTTCACGATATAAACTTGCCACAGGCCTTTCTCCTACCTTTATCTATCACATACGAAATCACAAGACAAGCCTTCTTTTACGTTCTATATACATTTATTTTGTCTTCACATAGACGGCGTGTTCAGCCAAGCTACGCCATGTTCTTGCCTTCCTCTCTTTTCCTCTCGCGCATGCGCACAGCAACTGTCTTTTTCTGATGCAATCTCACACACACACTCCCAAGCTACGATCCATAAATATTTCACTGTTATACGCCCTTTCTCCCGTTAAAAAAAAATAATTTATTAATTTTTTTTTGTTATATAGATCACATTAACTATAAAATCTTCATGATAACATAACAGTGAAATGAAAATCATGTGGAAAAAGAACTTGTCAATGAACATCCTAAATTATTTTATATGTACACTTTTTTAAATTAAATGAGAACTATACATAAGCCAATACTATATCCCATAGAGGAGTATTTCCCATGAACCCCTAAAACAACAACCAGGTACTCGGTACAACCTCGAGATACCAAAAATAAAACGGACTGCATCCTCAGTCTCGCAAAACAAAATCAACTATCAAGCGATGAAGATCAATTATCTCCAAAAACAACACTAAGCTAATGGGTTCATTATCCAACCAAGAAAATCAAACCTCTTAGGGTATA